ATGTGGGATCCGAACTGGGGCCCTCTGGCATCCCAAGCCAGCTCCCAACCAACGCGCCACTCGGCCAGCCCAAAATTAATATATTTAAAATTATTATTAAGATGTAACTATGTAACTCAGAAGATATAAATGTGATTTTATAAGGATATATGAACTTACAAATCCAAATGCATTTAGGTGGTAGTGAGCCACTTAGATTCTTCAAACGAGTCTGGAGCTATTACTTCTGGTCAGAGCACTCCAGAAGTAACTGTCACATGCCACTTTTATTGGAGCTGTCATTGAAAATGTTTGTCCCCACTCCCAGCCTTCCCAGAACCTAACCACCCAGGCTCACCTCTATTTTTGTACCGATTTCTCATTTTGCTTCTGATTTCTCACCTGAGGCAACCATTGAGGTGGCAGCAGCCCCTGACTTGACCTGCTTAGAAGCACATACCCTGTTGATGCCCCCTCAGTCTGTTGGAGCCGAGGCAGTCATGCGAGAGCAGACCCTCCTCTGAAGTGTGCTCTGTACACAGTGTAGTGTCCTTCCGGTGTGCCCTGCCCCCACCCCCGTGACTCACCCTGACCCCTGAGCAGGAAGTCAGGCAGAAGTGGATAGATGAGAGCCTTCACGTGTCCACAGTGCTCCGGTTCTCCACATTCTTCCTTCCTCCCTTGGCTTCCAGGAATTGGTTAATGATTCTTTCCCCTCTCATGGGGTGACATTTTTCAGCTCGTCATAGGACACCTTCACTGTTAGATGGGTTCTAACACTGACATTTGTGCCTCTTAAATATTAGATAAATATAAATAACTGAAAGCAACCCGTTACAGATTAACAGAAAAGAAAATTCTCTCTGCCACATGTGTATGCAACGTATAGATATTGGTAAAGTGGAGTTTTTCTTGTCAGTATGGATAGTAAGTAACTAACCAGAATGGGGAGCGTCCTGTCTCTGATCTCTCAGTACCCCAGCAACTCTCCTTGGACTGAATCAAGTTTGACCATTTTAATTGATTTGAAAAATAATAAAACGAGACCCTGATCTTTGCATGTGGGGTAGAGAATAAATTCATGCTAGATCGTCAGTTGGAGAAGGCTGCTTTTTATTATATACCTGATTGCTGTACCTGAGCCCACTTCGCTAGCATTTGGCTGGGCTGCTTCTGTACTCCTGCCTGAGGGTCTCTAGGAGAGCCGGTGAAGGTGGAAGAGCGTGTGTGTGCATGGTTTTCCTTCCATAGATAATGAGCATGAGAAGGTGGGCGTGTGTGTACAGAGTGAAGGAGGCTCTACTGTTCCCAGGAAATCGGTGATAGAAGAGGAGAATCAGCTATGACCGTATTATTAATCGAAGGAAGATGAATCTTTGGTCAGTTTTGAATATCTTTTCTTTTGGTAGATATATTGCCTTCGACTTCCATAAGGAATGTAAAAATATGAGATGGGATCGACTAAGTCTTTTATTGGATCAGGTGGCAGAAATGCAAGATGAATTAAGGTAAGCTCTGGTACCTCCCTGTGGGGGTCGAGGGCAGGGCTCATATTTATTATGCATTACCTAGCAGACTTACAAACACACTTCTCCGGGTCGATAGCACTTCTCTTTACTATTATTTTTAGGTATTTTTATTGAAAAGATGAGGCTTCGTGATTTAGAAATATTTTTAAATTCTTAAAAATGGCTCATGACCAGGTACTTTCATATTTTTATGAATTATCTTTCCCACATTTACAAATTTCTACATAATTGAAATTAGTTTACTCCTGTTTTATATTCAGCTGTTCTCACAGAACGTTCTGTCACAGATGACTTGTCATTAGCCTACCTGGTGTTTGTGGTGATCGAGTTAATGCTGCTCTGTGTTCCGTGTGTCGTCACACAGTTTCAGCTCAGTGCTGTCCTTCACACTGAGTTTCCTTTACTCTTCCTACCATGAAAGGTGGTGCTGCAGCGACTCACGCTGTGTATATATATTTTTACTTATGGAAATTATTTCCTAAAATAAATTCTCGAGAATAGGATTAATGGGTTAGAGGGTCTGAATATGTTCACGGGGCTTTCTGTGTGTGTGTACTGTGTTATTAATAGTTACCGTGTTGGTTCACAGGTTTACTGTATCTATGCCTGTGTCACTCTTATTAATTTAAAGCCAGAAAGAGGAATCTATAAACCATTCTATCATTTTGTTCAGCCTTAATTAATTAATTAATTAATTAATATTATCTAGTGTTCATTGTACATTCTTCTGAGCATTTTATGTGCATTATGCAGGATCTCATTCAAACCTTAGAACAGCCTGATGGGGGCGCTGACAGCTCCATTTTGTAGATGAAAAACAGGCTCGGAGAGATGAGGTTAGTTATCTAAAGTTACATTGCCAGCTAAAGGTAGCTGACCAGCTGTTTGCATGCTCTTTGCCTCCACACTGTGGTGACAGATTTTCAGTGCATAGAATCATCTGAGAAGATGGTTAGAAATGATGGGAACACAGGAATGGTACCCAGGGTGGAGCCCAGTGCTGACAACTGGGGGGTTAAGGGAAAAATGGAACTGACTTTTCAAATACTGCCTATCACGCCTTATGAACTTTGTACTATTGGCATATATTACCCATTTTAAGAAAGGATTTAAAAATGTTTTTAATGCACAGTATCTAAACCTTGCTTCAGAGATTAGTACTCAGTTATCTGAAGGCCAAGCGTTTTCATTTCTAATGAACAACTCAGGGAATTCTGATATAGACAGTAAAGTGACTGTGCTTCAAGAAGTCCTGATATATGGGGCGTAGGGGAAATAATTATGTCAAAGGAAGGCCTCTCCTGGCCTTAGGGAAACATGGCAACCTTTGTAATACTCCCAACTCTACTTCTTAGCACCTCGGGTGCAACTATCCTTGATGCTACAGTTGGTTTTTGGATAGGGGCCTCTCGTGCCTCTGCCATTGAAACTTCTTTTTGGTCTGTGGTCTTCAAATACACTAGGACCATGCATTTCCTGCCTGACCTTTTAATGTACCGGTTTTAATAACGTCACCGATGGGAGACCTGTGTCGTAAGTGTTGTGTTCTTCGTAGAGTTAACTGGCTTTGGTATGAGAGTGTTTATACAAATATGTTTTAGTTATTTTCTAGTGGATGCTACTGGCAAGGTGGTGACAAACCAGGAGGGCGTGTTCCGCAGCAACTGCATGGACTGCCTGGACAGGACCAACGTGATCCAGAGCCTGTTAGCGCGGCGCTCGCTTCAGGCCCAGCTGCAGGTGCAGAGTCTTTTTTGTCTTTTATTAAAGAACATGTTAATAGCAAAAAATGAAAGAAACTTCATCTTTAAAAACCAGTAACAGCAACAACAAAACCTCACCTTGCCCCCACCGTAACCCACCTCTTCCTGTTTTTGTGTCTTGCTGTCCACGAGTGTACAGGTGCTCCGTAACCATGGTCAGCACACGAATGCACAATTTTTAATCTTGCCGTTTTCCTCTAGCATTCTTCATCATCATAGTTTGTGTTGCATTGTTGTACTGTAATTAATAAGCCATTTAGGTTGCTAGATTGTTTGGCCTATAAATAATACTGTAGAGGGTATATTGGTATATATTATTAGTAACTTGAATTATTTCCTTCAGGTTAATTCCTAGAAGTTCAATTAGTGGGTTAAAGAGAATATAGGTATATATTACTTTCCAAGAGGGCCATGGCAGTTTACACTGACACCAGCCAGCAGTAAAAAGCGAATCCATTTCATTGAACTCTTGGCAACATTAGATATTTTTATTTAAAACTTTGTTTTTTATTTCAATAGTAGAGTAGTACCTCAGGATTGGTTTCATTTGCGTCTCTTGTTATTGGCGAAGGATATTAACTCTCAGGTAAAAAGCTTCTGACGCTGCTTTCCTGTAACATTAAGATTTTGCTGTTGATAAAAATAGATACAAATATTTTCTTCTGCTTATATTTGGAATTAAGAATAAATACAGCCCAAATTTCCATGTCACATTGGCATTTGTTACGAGGGGCAAACAAAATGCATCCCCAATGGTTCCTGTAAATAATTAGTAAGCATTCAGCTTTTTTTCAGGACAATTTTGGGGTCCCCAGGGTGGGATTATGGAGGTAGAATACCTCCTTTAGGATGCGTTGTCCTTGAACCCTAAAGCGGCTCATTGGTGCATTCTCTAGTTCTTATTGGACTGTGTCCTTGTCAGTCTGTTGGATTGACATCAGAGTGTACTTTTCAATAGCAACAACATTAGGAATGGTTGTTCCCAAGGCTGATTAACAAAAACCTGTTTAACTAGCTTCTATAATCTATATTTAGCTGTTTTACATGCTAAATATAGTATTTGAAAACCTACCCAGTTTCAGAGAGTCTTTGGGCAGGAACCTTTCTAGCGTCAGTAGTGCCAGCAGGTGTGGGGACTCCAGTTATGCCGGTCCCCTTCCAGTGAGGGCAGGACTTTTCCCCAGCTGGTCGCTGAGGTTGGCTCCTGTGCCATGTGAGGGTAGGGAGGCCCCTTCTCAGGTGAGCAGTGAAGATGGTGGTTCTGAGAGGGCTGAATGTCCATGACAGAGGCCGAGGAGGGGCTCCTAATCTGGTCAGTGAACCCAAGGGGAGTCCATGGTGGTGGGAGGGTGCCAGGAACCCTCTGAGGTTATATGCTAGGGGCTGTGTGGATGTGCAGTGTGTGGGGAGGCAGAGACGCAGCATTCGATTCTCAAAGGGCCCCTGGGATGGGGGTAAGTTTGGGGGTGGGGAAGGCTGGGGAGGCGAATTGTGAGGAGGGTAGAGGAGTAAAGGCAGTAGACGGTTGGGGGTGGCAGGGCAGGAGGAAGTGCCGGCTGGAACCCACAGGAGCGGAAGCCCCCTCCCCGCCTCCATTCCTTCCGCCCTCTCCCTGAGTGCAGGCGGCCCTGCTGCTGTCTCTGTGGGGCTGGGGCTCCAGGGGCAGCGGCGCTGCTGCGGGAGAGGAACCCTCAGGGGCTTGCAGCCTGGGCGGGAGAGGGCTGCTCAGCTGGGAGGGACCCCTGGACACAAGGAACGTGTCTTCCTCTTCCGCCTGTCGCCGGGAACCACAGGGTACGATTTGGGGACTGTCTGCTTGTCCTCAGTCGTGTGCTGAAATGTGCTGCACGTAAACACGCGAGTGGTTCTTATTTCAGAGACTGGGAGTTTTGCATGTGGGACAAAAGCTTGAAGAACAAGATGAATTTGAGAAGATTTACAAAAATGGTAGGCAATTTCTTTAATAGAATCAAAGTTACTCAAATTTTGAAATAAATTAATATTTTGGATTCAGAACTCTTGGTTGTCATTAATCACTCTCAGCTGATTTTTACTTTTTTTCACAGCCTGGGCTGACAACGCAAATGCTTGTGCCAAACAGTATGCAGGAACTGGTGCCTTGAAGACCGACTTTACCAGGCAAGCCCTGCTTTTAAAATAGCATTCCAGTTCCGCAGGTCACGGTTCTGGGGCCTTTTGGGGTCACTTGGGCAGCCCTCAGGCACCCGCGCCTGGGCCTCGCTGCAGACCGCTCATGGCACGGCCCATGCCGGGCAGGTTCTCAGCCTGCCTGGGGGCTGGTGCTGCGAGTCGAGCAGCAGGGCTCTTCAGTGCCCCAAACCTGGTGTGCGCCCACTCAGCCTGGCAGGTTCAGCAAGCCTTGGGCAAGGCCTGAGGTCCTGCCCCTAGAAAAAGCACCCAGCTGATTGGGACGGACGCTGCTCCTGGGGACACACTGGCTAGTGAGAGGTCACAGCATTTTGTGTTTGTCCCAAATGCCGGCAGGTCTTTGCCAGTCATGTGGATTCCCTGGAAGCAAATAAGATTTCCTAGTCTTGTTGCTGTTTCACACCACTTACCCTGCACTGCGTGTGTCTCCCCTTATTTCTGGTCTTCATGACTGGTGCTGACTGTGGGAGGTAATGTTGTAGAAAGAGAAGACGGGTTTCTCGGACCTGCTGATGGTTTCTTTTGTGAGGTGTCTCCTTTATATTTTCAGGGTTGACTTTGAAACCTTTGTAACGCCCTTCTCTCCATGACACATACTTATTGGCCACGTCTTCTCACATTATAAAACAGTGTGAGAATTTAATAGGCAAATCTGTAACTCAAAACTTCACCTTTTTTGACCAGAACCGGGAAGAGAACTCAGTTGGGACTTGTAAAGGATGGCTGGAACTCACTAATACGGTATTACAAGAACAACTTTTCTGACGGATTTAGACAAGTAAGTTTGTATTTGGTGCTAATTTTTGGTTATTGGGTGGCCGGCTGTATCTTTGCACTGCTTCTCAGTAGTGTAATCACCTGTGATTTGGGAGTTAATCATTTTCTTCTTTCTGTTCTAGGATTCCATAGACTTATTTCTTGGGAACTATTCAGTGGATGAATTAGAATCTCATAGTCCTTTAAGTGTTCCAAGGGACTTGAAATTCCTGGCTGTAAGAAACCTTTATGTTTTTCAAACTGTTAAAAAAGCATTGTGTCAGGAGGTATAGATGGGGCCAACTGCCCGTGATTTAAAACGTCGTATGTTGTTCTGAGTGGAATATAAATACCTAAGTTTCCCCAAGGAGAAGATGCGGAAAAGGAGTAAAATAACTTTGGAGTGTTTGTTTTCTTTCAAACATCCTTCTAATGTGAGAACACATAAGCAGAGGGAGTGTGGAAGTTTTCTCATTTCAGGAAGACTCCCCTTTCCGCGTGTTCAGGGGCAGGTGGAGGCGAATTTGAACCTGAGAGACAAAGTACAGGCAGACCTGGGAGATACTGCGGGTGTGGTTCCAGACCGCCGCATACAGCAAGTGCAAACCAAGAGAGCCACAGGAGCTGCTGGCATCCCGGAATGTAGAGACGTTTACACTGTACTGTAGTGTCCTGAGTGTGCAATAGCATTGTGCTCAGAAGACAGTGTACACACCTTAACTAAAACATGTGTTGTTGGTAAAAAGTGCCGACACCCCTGAGCCTGTTAGAAACATGGCAGCGATAGACGTGCTTGACACGGTCGCCACAAACCTTCAGTCTGTAAACCCGCGATGTCACAGAGCACAGCCAACGCGCTGTGGTGCGACACCGCTCTCCCTTTTTGACTCCTGTGTTCACCAGACTTTGCAGGAGCCTCTCTGGGCTCCCAGTCCAGTGGGCAGAGCAGCCTGCAGTGGAAGCGGGGCCTGGCGCCCTGGGTCTCACCTGGGCGACCTCACCCCGCCTGGCTCCCCTTGGCTTGGAGCAAAGGCCTGCTCTTCAGATCTTAGGACTCAGCCGATCTTAGATTCGGGCAGTTGTGATTGAATCCCTAAATAATGTTTTGCTGAAAAAAAGATACTTTGTGTATTAGACTGCAGAAGAGTTTTATTCTTCTCAAGCACAGTGCACACTGACTTCGCAGCCGCTGACTAGCGTCCTGAGCTGATGTTTCTCTTCCACTCTCTTTTCCAGTTGCCTATCATCATGGTGGTTGCCTTCTCAATGTGCATTATCTGTCTGCTTATGGCCGGTGAGTCCGCTCTTACATCACACTCTTCTAGTCATTTTCTAGAATGTTCAGCTTCCTTGTACAGCAGCTTCAGTTTTTGAGTCTGCTCAACCCTTGATGTTTCCCATTTAAACGTAAAGAGTAAAGTGAGCAGATGAGACTAGACCTTAGATGTGACCAGAGGGAAAATGTATACTCAGTAGCTTGAGAAATGTTTTGTTTTTAGTTTTTACTTAAGATTTTAAAATTGTTTTTTTCTTATTACCAAAGTAATACATAGTAATTATAGAAAATACAGGTAGGCAAAAAAGAAGAAAATATTATTTATCATTCTGCCTTTCAGAGATAAGTGAACTACCCTTATTAATATGTTGATGTTTTCATCTTTATAAGTGTGTGATTTTCTTCTAAAGTGAGATTTTTATACATTTTTTTGTAATCCATTTTTTTCACTGAGCAATATAAACATTTTCCATGTTCTTTATTTTTAAGGACTGCAAAGTATTCCATTTATGGATGTATAGTTTATTTAACCAACCACCTATTGTTGGACAAATAAATGTTAATAGATTAATATATTACATATTAAATTTTAATAGATTGAGAGCAAAATTGCCTAAGAACTGAGCTAACAAGGTCTTTCCTGGGTTTCTTTTTTTTCTCTCACTATCTTCCTGTTACTCAGTTAATAAGCACTTAAGATTAAAGTGTCTCCATTAAGTCGTATTCCGTGTCCTGGGAATTGTCTGTGACATGGCTGAGGTCCCGCCTCAGGCTCTGGGAGAAGGGGCGCCCTCCTGTCTTCACCCTCCGCCCTGGGCTCCCTGGGCTCCTTGCGCGGACATTGCTCAGCCTGTCTGCATCCCCCATCCCCCGGGCACCAATCAGATGCTCCCCTCAGTGTGCCTTGTTCTCCCACACAGACGGCGTCTCCCCTTTGGGATTTCCAGAGCAGCCCCTGCTCCTCTCACAGCACTTTCCTCTTTTAACCTCATTGTGCCCAGGGACCTCCTTGTCAGAGCTGCTGCGCCTCTTGTCCCTGACATACCCACTGTGTGTTTCTCGCGGTGTGGTAGTGACTCACATACGCCCTTTCTCAGCGCGTCAGCGACTTTCTGAGGGCAGACTGTGTCCTACAGACTGTTTTGTCTCCTGTGTCTGGGATATCGGGATTCCCACCCCCGCTCCCACACTGGCTCTGCTGGCTTCCTGCGGGCAGGCGCAGCCTGCTCACCTCTGTATCTCCTCGCATTCAGCACGGTGACAGCCAGGCACAGGAGAAGGAGCCGGCCTGTTGTTACTCTAGAGCACGCGTAGCAAACTTTTTCGGTAAAGAACCAGATAATAACTATTTTAGACTTTGCAAACTGCATATGGTCTCTGTTGCACATTGTTTGTTTGTTTTACAACTCCTTAAAAATCCAAAACCCATCCTTCGTTCACAGTACAAAAACAGGCCGAGGGGTCGCGGGCACAGGGGTCACCGTGTGGCATGACTGGTCCTGGGTCCGGTTTGGGGGCAGGAAGGCAGAGGGGGTTGCTGGCCAGCATGGGATCCCCATAACCCCTCAGCACCCCTCACTCCCCCAACCCCCCACCTCTGTTCACTATATTCCCTGCCTTGCTTCTTCAAAAGCAGCCCAGTGGCCACTCCGCTGTTGAATTCAATGCTTTTGTTATTTTGATCTGTTTTGTGTTTTTGGCCATATCCTGACATTTGCCTGTAGAGCCTCTGGAGAGGCAGGAAAGCCAAGACCCAGTGCTCGGCCTGAACAGATGCTCTGCTCGGTTCCTCTGGGCGTGTCCTAGGTGGGGCTTGTGAGGAGCTGCCTGTCTCCTTTGCCCAAGAGGAATTTTAAGGCTCAGAGCTGTGAAATTAGCAATTATGCAAATATGAATGTTTTTGAGTAAAAAGTTGGATGCTGTGGATGGTAACTTCTCATGTTAGTTAATTGTTATGAAATAATGAGCTTTGTGATGCCTAGGTTTAATAATATCCGATTTTTAGCCCCTCCTTTGGTTTTTAAGAGACTGGGAAATCAGTGTGGTGTGACCTGACAGCCCGCTAGGACAGAGCCCCTGCTGGCGTGCTCTGCTGCTGGCTGCAGGCCTCGGCATGTGTCCCTGTCTACACATGAGGCCAGTGCTGTTGCAGGAGAGACAGCACAGGAGTGTCAGCTCTTCAAGGAGCTGAACGAAATTCATCTTTGCCCACTGGTCTGCGGCCAGCCATCAGGAACCCCAGGCTTGAAAAAATGCGCACCAGGGGAGTTGCGTTACACACGTTATTAAAATACGTTACTGAGCTTCGTTTTATACTCTTAACTTTAATACATAACTTTTCTGAAGTGTGTATATTTTGTAAAGTTACTTTTTGTGTAGGTATTTTGATAGTAGCTAATATCCATCATAGGTAGGACTATAAATTAAACTATCGGTAATAGTTTCTTGTGGTATTAAAGTGTATAATCTACAAGTACTAATTATTGTTTATGTGACATAAAGTGGTTCAGTCAAGTGCTTCTCCAAGTGTGGCCCCTGGACCAGCAGCATCAGCACCACCTGGGAACTTGTTGGAAATGCAGATTGTCGGGCCCCAGGAACCCGGGTGGGGCCTGTGGAGGTTCTCAGGCTAGCCAAGTTGGAGAACTGCTGGTTTAAAACTTACATGAGAGGTTCTTGTATTTTTCCTGTAGGTGTGTTAGTCAACTTGATGTTGTGAAAATGCGAAACAGCCAAGAGTAGATCTGGTATCAGTGCAATGACTTTTCTTTATCAACTCTTTGTTGTTTTTTTCTTTAAATCAACAGGTGACACTTGGACAGAAACACTGGCCTATGTGCTCTTCTGGGGAGTGGCAAGCATTGGAACATTTTTAATTATTCTTTACAATGGCAAAGATTTTGTCGATGCTCCCAGGTTAGTCCAGAAGGAAAAGATAGACTGAATTTGTGTCTGTGGAAAGCGGCTTGGCTTGGAAGACTCCGTCGTGCAGAACTGGAGTCTTTACTGACCCGCGTTCCACACCCGCCGGAGGCTCCTCTAAAGCCTTTATCCAAAAGCACGTCCTGCACTCTGTGTAGGGTGATGACTTCAGACTGATCTGGTGTGACTGCCCTGGTGATCTCTTTACCGTTGGCACGGGATATTGATAAATTGAAGCTATTCTATAATTAAAACGTAACCTGAACAGCTCACAGAATGGAAGGACTCTACTCATTGTCAGTTTAATCATCTGTTGCAGAATAAGTAATATATATTAAAAAAATCTAGCTTCTTTCATTATTTAAAACAGTAAGATTATTTTTCTAGCTCAGTTTCATTGTCATGGAAGCAGCCACTGTTAGCAAGCATACTTTCACACACCTTTGGACTTCAGAGTTGAATAAGAAGCTAACTCGGCTGTGTTTATCAAATGTAAGTCTCTTACATATATCAAGTAGTTGGACGGAACAGCCTGTGACTTCATGGGGTGGGAGGAGAATGGGGCCTGATGTCCTTTTGAAGTTTCAGTTCTGTGGATGAGTTCAGCCAGCTTGAACTGCTGCAGTCGGACCAGCAGTTGTAAGTGTGATGAAACAGTTCAGATATACTTTATCTTTTTTAAAAGTTGTAAATGAAATCAGAGAATGTAAAGTCTATCTCTTATGCTAATGGTCCAAAGCCGCCTCTGTTTTAAGGATTGCCTGTGTGCAGAATACCCTTAGTTGGTCAGCCACTTCCTCCTGGGCACTTTGGTTTCTTTGGGGGTCATTCCTCGAGATAGGCAGGCCTCTCACAGTGTCTTGTGCTGAATTCGACAGTGCACTTGGAGGCAGTAGCTGCCCGCCCATGCATGGCACTGTTGAGCTGCTTTTCACTCTGTAAAGGTTTTTGTTAGCTATCAATAAGTGTGTCTAAAATTTAGTGCTTCCAAGAGTTATAGTTCTCCAAATCAAGGACCGACTTAAACTTTTAATTTATGTGTAAAAATGAACCTGAAAAATATGCTTTAGAGGCCGTGCATAGGTCTAAGTCGGACTGTATATTCAAATTGTAATTATGAGGATTAAATATTAGAAAAGTGTGTAAGGTAGTATAATTACCACTATCTTAAAACAGTTCAATTAAATATTGCTACAATACTTGTGTTGTGCTTGAAAATATGTATAGTTTTTTCAATAATACCTTACGTTTTCCTTAAATATCTCTAAAAGCGCCTTTATTTCATCATTACCTTTTTTCCAATATTATCTTTTATAAACATTAATAGGAGTTGTTGCTTTTAGAAACTCTAAGGGAAATAATAGCTGGAAAACCATCTGTAGCTTAAAATCAGTCATGAAAACTCACAATAGGGTAAGTAGTTAGAACTACCTATTCTTAACATGTAAATAAGCGTAATTTGTCCCAAAGATTACTATTGAAACTGAGTTCAGGCCAGCTGTGGCATATCATTCAGATGCTGCTGGGCATTTTGCGCAAGAACTGAATTTGAACTACATCAGAGACCAAATCGGAACTGCTAACGGGCTGTTTTGCAGCAAGTGGATGGATGCTGGTGTGGCGGGTGGTGAGGTGTCAGGACTTCAGAGCCCTGCAGTGACGTCTAAATTCACGTACTGTATATCCGTAAGTGAGAATAAAATGTCATATTCTTTTCTAACTACTGTTGGTGTCGTTCCTGTACTTTGTCTTGAAAGGAATGTTCTTTTTTTAGTTTAGAATTTCAAAAATCATGCAACGCAATGCACGGTCATTATAGAAAAAATAGGCAGTACAGGGAAACAAGAAAATGAATAGCTTCTGAAATCCTGCTTTCCAGTTTTGATCACTTAAGAAGTTGTTTTTATCCTTATAATTATTTTTCAATTATAGATAAAACGGGAAATACCGAGTAAAATATAATATCCATAAAAAGATGTCTCCTGTCCCTCCCACCTCCAGATTGTCGTTTGTTTTTCAAAGTTATGCAGGTCGTGGGGCAGTGTTGCTAGTTAGAAAATGTTCTCAGGCTGCAGGGTGGTGCCAGCGAGCCTGAGGGAAACGCCGCAGTGAACACCTAGGCACTAGGAGACCCTGATAGGTGAGTGAGGTGGCACTCCTTGGGTGGCATCTGGGATATGCACCCCCCTCAGGAACCATGCACTGCGTCCTGCTGTCCCTGGTGTCAGTCCTCTGCACACAGCCACCCTCTACTGCTTCCTTCCCTGCACAGCCTGGCCCGGAGTCCCCCTGCACAGGGCTGACCAGCAGCTGCCGCCACACCCTCCCTGTCACCTCCCTCCCCTCATACACTCATAGGTGTTCTGTACCCATCTTTCCATGGGGGGCGGGCGGGGGAGGGGCGGAGATAAACTATGCTTCAGTATGAGTGAGACTTAGTCAGTGTCTTACCTGTCATCTGTTTATGCTCTCAGTCATTTGTAGTCACAAAATGAAAAGCTTTGTCCCATTCAAGATGCAGTGACCAAGGGTGGGAGCGAGAGAGAGTTACCGGTGGGGATAACCCCCAAAGTCATGTGATGCAAACCATCAGTCCTGATGGAATCAGGTTGACGTTTTGTGTCAGGACTCGAGTTGGCTAAACAAGCCAAAGCCCAAATACGGAGGAAAGGAGAAATGCAGGGTGTGTATGTGGTGGGGAGGGGGTGAAGAAAGGGGCCTAAACACATGAGGGTTTTGGGTTTCTTCCTCCAACTTGTCTGAGAGTCCTGATGTCAGAAGAAATGATCCTAATACAGATACATGTTGATAAATATTTAAAATACAATGTTCCTTGCCACATAGGCCTGTCCAACATGGCAGCCTGGCTCGTCAAAGCCAGCAACATGGAAGTAACAACCTAATCTCAGAAGGGTCACACTCTGTGCCTTAGAAACAGTCGGGTTGGTCAAGAGGAGGGGCAGGTCACCCAGGCAGTGAAGACCAGGAGGTGGGGGTCTCTGGGGACCGGCTTAGACATCCGCCACCACGACCAGTAAGGGGACAGGTGCACGGCCATGATTCAGAGCTGGTGCCGGACGGGATCAGGCGGCCTGCAGGTGGCTGAGGCTCCCACCCAGGTGCCGTGGTTGTCCAAGGCTGCGTAGCAAATGAGCCCCCAGAGTGGCATAGGACAATGATAACGTGTTTTGCTCACAAAACCCTGCAGTTTGGGCAAGGCCTCATGGGCATCGGTCACCTCCGTTCCACCTGACCAGTTGTGTGGCTTCAAAGGCTGTGGCCTGGAATCATCAGAGGGTTGCTTGCTACCTGTGAAATGGGGGAGTGGGGAGAAGAACCCGAGGCAGGAGCAGGGTTGCGGGGTAGGGGAGAAGAGAGAGAACCTCCAGGGTGCAAGAAAGTCCCTATCCAGGGCAGCTCCAAGGGACCCCTGAGCCTGGGCTCAGCCATGCTGCCGTCACCCTCGGCCTCCCCTCTCTGGAAGAAGTGTGCCTGGAAATGCCCCGCTGAAGCTCGGTACCCAGGCTCCATCCAAAGCTTCACTGCTTCCCTTTATGTTTCGGGGGGCCTGTAACAATCGGGGAGCACAGAACCTGACCTTTGAAGCCCCATGTTCTTTCCCAAAGCCGTCCTACATCTCACCAGGGAGATTGATCACCACCAGTCTTACTTTTTTCTTCGCGTTTCTTTGCATTTCTTCCTAGCTCAGTACCTGTCTGCATCCCTAGGTAAGTGTGCTGTTTACCTGTGTGTAATTTTATAAGAGCGGTACCATTCTGCGCGTATCCTGCAGATATGCCGTGTTCATTCAACATTGTTTCTCAGATTCATCCGCGTTGATGGTGATAGCTGTCATCTATTCCTGTTAACTGTGGTTTATATTGAATGAACAGTAATTACAGCATATGTATGCGCTTGGGCTTATTGGAGACTGTCTCACAGTTCACTCTTTATCCGGCCTCTCGCTGGGGGACGTTTGGCTGTTTCTGGTTGTCTCCTGTTGCAGTCAGCATTGCTTGTGAGCTTTCTCTCCCCAGCTCACATGGGAAGTGTGTCTCCCTGGCCTGTGCCCAGTGGCAGACGTATGAGCCTGAAATATACAAATAACGTGAAATGGGTCTCTAAGAAATTGGTTGTGCCATCTGTGTTCGTAGCAGTTCCACGTTATCACCAACGCTGGGCGTGGCAGACTTCCTGGATTTTTAATCCCGTATGTATGACGTGGTATCTGATTCTGGTGTTTCTCTGATAACTGATGAGATGGAGTATCTTGGTTTTTGGGGGGTTTCTTTTGTAATCAGTGTTTCCTGCTCTGTGCCTGTTGAGGTCTTTTGCCCGTTTCTATTAGATTCTTTGTCTTTATTAATTTGTTGACATTCTTTATAGTCTGCAGAGTACCATATTTCCCCACATAGAAGACGCACCCTTTTTTGAAAAATTTGGGGTCTAAAAACTGGGTGCATCTTATACAGTGGTTGTATGAGCGCAAAAACAAGCACGAAAAAAGCAGGAAATGCAACTAAAAAAACATCTACAACCACTGTGTAAAATGCACCCAGTTTTTAGACCCCAAATTTTTCAAAAAAGGGTGCGTCTTCTATGTGGGGAAATACAGTAACTTTTTGTTGATGATGATATGGACTACATATATCTTCTCTCAATTTGTGGCTTTTCATTTTCTTGTGACCATTTTTTTTTTTTCAATTACAGTTGACATTCAATATTATATTAGTTTCAGGTTATGGCATAGTGGTTAGATGTCTATATAATTTATGAAGTGAACCCCCCATTAAGTCTAGTATCCATCTGACACCCCCCACTAAGTCTAGTATCCATCTGACACCGTACATAGTTTTTACAATATTATTGACTATATTCCTTGTGCTGTACTTTACATCCCATGACTATTTTGTAACTACCAATTTGTACTTCTTAATCCTGTCACCTTTTTCACCCAGCCCCCCCAAACTCCCTCTCACCTGGCAACCATCAGTATGTTCCCCATATCTATGGGTCTGTTTCTGTTTTGTTCATTTATTTTGTTCTTTTTATCCCAC